TGTGGGTGCCTGTCTCTCTCTCTCATGAAAGAAACAAACAATAATTATTTTTTAAAATCAGGTTTTCAAAGAATATTTAGTAACACAGAAAAACACACAAATTATACTTTAAAAAACACAAAACTAAAACAAACTGTATCTGTGATAGGATTGATGTTTCCCTTTCTTCAAATAGATTGAGGTGAAGGAGCGTAAAGCCATCCTCAAGATACTAGAAGGAAATTTCATACAATGTGAACAGTAGTTATTTCTTTTTTTTTTTAAAGAAGTATTTATTTGTTTTGATTTATTATTATTATTTTTTAATTTGACCAGAGAGAGACAGAGAGAGTGAAAGTGAGAAAGCAAGCTGCCAAGTCCAGGACTCGAACCATAGGCAGCCATGTGGGGAGTCCACAGCCTTAACCACCACACCACCTGCCAGCCCCATGAACAGTAGTTATTTCTAGGTATTACAGTATACATGTGATTTAGCTTTTTAATTTTCTGTTAAAAAAAAAAAAAAAACAGCAGGAGCTAGAGAGAAAATGCGGTGGCTGGCTGGCTCAGACTGGCAAGTGGCTCTGGAGGCTCACCTGACTGACTCCTGTCCTCTGCAGCTGCTATTCTCACTCAGGCTCTCTGCTCTCTCCCACACTGCAGTAATTTTCTGCCTGCTCTCTCCACATCCAGTCTTTGCTCCCCAACCACCTTCCATATTGGCCATAAGCAAGTGTAATCTTCCCACTGTGCAAAACTGATCCTGTCCATTTAAAACTGTCAATGGTGGACGAGCAGATGGCATACTGGTTACGTTGCTGGACTCCCGCGTAGTCAACCGTGGTTTAGTCCTGCACCCAGCAGCATAAAACTCATGATGGGCATGGGTGTGTTCATGCCCAAGATGCTGAAAGGAGAATGGAGAGGGACTGCGGCATGGCCATCCCCTCTGGGGGGTGATTTCTCACTTTCTGTCTCTCTGTCTTTCCAGTGAGTGTAAGAACCATATAGCAAAAATCTCTCTAAAACCAAAAAAATAAAAAATAAAAAAATAAATAAATGGTTCTCAACTACTTACAATTAATAGGTAACACTTGCAAGTTTTCTATGTAGCAAGTACTGTTCTAAGTGCTTGATATGTAGTAATTCAGTCACTACTTAACATAGGGACTGTTAATATCCCCATTTTGGAGAAAAGACACAGATATACAGGAAGGTTAAGTTACTTGCTTAAGGCCACACAGTCAGTGAACGGTAAAGCCAGAAAGCAAACACAGGCAACGGGATTCCATACCCGGTTCTCCTAACCACCATCCTGAACTCCCCTACAGAATAAAGCAAAAAGTCCACAGCTCGACATTCGTGGCATTTCAGGAAAAGCTCCCACTATGTCTCCAGTCTCCTCACTACCACCAAGCACTTCACTACACTTAAACTTGACTCTGTCACAGCAAAGGGATATATAGCTCCCTGTGGGTGAGAGCAGTTCATAGCCTTGTCCCTTTGTTTCTGTGGGCCCACCTGTCTGAAAAGCCCATTTTTCCTTCTTTGGATCCTTAACCTCAATTTTTCCTTTTTTTTCTTATTTTTTGAGAGAGAGAGATTTTTGCTGTAGGGTACAAGTGCTTGGAGGAGAGACAGAGACAAAAAGCAAGAAGCCACCCCACAGGAGGGATAGCCATGCTGCAATCCCTTCTCCTACATTCTCTCAGGATTTTGGGGACACAGGAACATGAGTTTTAAGCTGCTGGGTCCGGGACTTGAACCGCAGTCAGCTGTGCAAGTCCAGTGACATAACCATTATGCTATCTGCTGGTGCCAACTTCAGTTGTTTCTTCAAGACTCAGTTCAGGGACCAGCAGTTTTGAGAGATCACCTGACACTTATGCTCTCTTCACCTTGGCTATCAGCACCTCCAAAGCCTGGCCCCTGGAGATGCAGATCACAACCAGCAGTCCCAGTCTTAATGGCTATACTAAGAGAATACTTTAAACTAGGGCAGAGGGCGGGCAGCCCCTGCTCTGGGGACAGATCACTCGTGGTGTTGTAAATTTCAGACAATGCTATTCCTGGCAGCTCTGTCTCTTGAAGTTAGTCTGACAACCACAGTGACAATGCAGTCATCAGGGACAGTTTCAGGGCAAGCCCCTATGAGTGAGTTGAGGGTGGGTAGAAGCAGATGAGGGGAAACTGGGCCAATGCTTATCTAAGCCAAAAACAAATATTCCAGTAACAGACTTGGCTGTTCTCCAAAAGGAGTGTCTCGTGATAGCCTGCTTGGGTGCTGGATAAACCCTGTCATTATCTGTGTGGTCAGCATTACACCCGACAGTCCACCGGGTCCTTAGAGAAAATGAGCCTCCTCTGTCTTTGAAAGAAATGTTTTTGGTTATTTGTTATATTTCAAAAATCACAAAACTACTCCAAAAGACCATCTCCTGGGGGTTAGTACCAGTCAGAACATCAGCATACCATCTGAAGTAATTAAAGGAAGGAGGAGGGACAGAGGAAACAGATCCAGTGGCCAGAACCAGAGATTTACAGGAGGAGTCTGATGCATTCCTCTAGTCAATGCCAACTGACCTAAGCTCTTTAAGATCAGGAGAACTGGTTCTTCTCTAGGGGAGGAAGACTCCCAGGGATGACAGAAAACAAGTTCAAGAAGCCAGAAGAGCCAGGGCCTTCGGGCACCAATAGCAGAGACCTGGTCAGTGGACTATTAGAAATTTGGCCTGAGGGTACAAACTTGGAGAGAAAAGAAAATACCTGATGGGACTGCAGGCCAATGATTGAGGAGTAGGCCTGGATAGTTACGTAGATCTCAGGCTGGAAGTTGATGCATGATCCAGGCACTCGGAAAGGCCGGAGGAGCCCGCCTAAGCAGCGGGACAGTGCGTGAAAAACTTCATCAAACAAGATCTCCCCAGTGGAATCATCCTGAGGCAAATGGAGAAGGAAATCTCTTAAGAGGGCCTAAAGGCAGCTCTATACACAGGTACAAACAAGCAACTCCCACGAGTCAGCAGGACCTCTGCCTTATGGTTGATCACAACCCCAACACAATGCCACAGATTAAAGTGGGATCTTTCTTCAAATACCCACCACTCCCTTATAAGCCTGGCTACTTCTGCAATGGTAGAAGAACTTTATTATTTTTGTTGTTGTTAAGGTTTTTGCCATAGAGTGTGTGTGTGCTTGCCAGAGAGAGAGAGAGGGAAAGCAAGAAATCACCCCCCAGGGGGTATGGCCACATTGCAATCCCTTCTCCTCCTGGGATTTTAGGCATGCACTCACACGTGTCTGGCATGATTTTCAAACTGCCAGGTTCAGGACTTGAACTGTGATTGGCCCTGTTGAAGTCCAGAGCCTTAACCACCATGCAATCTGCTGACCTCTAGAAGAACTTTTTTTTTATTTTTTGGAGAGGTTTTTGCTATAGGGAGAGTGTGTTCGCCAAACAGACAGAGAGAGACAGAGAGACAGAAAGCGAGAAATCACCCCCCAGGGAGGATGGCCATGCCGCAATCCCTTCTCCTCCATTCTCCTCTTGGGATCCTGGGCACGCACGCACACGCGCCCGGGGTGAGTTTTAAGGCACCGGGTCCAGGACATGAACCGTGGTCGACTACATGGGAGTCCAGCAACATAGCCATTACGCTAACTGCTGGTTCCCTAGAAGAACATTTTTTTAATGCAACATTTTTCACTTCTCCCAGGCCTCTCCCTTTTCTTCTCACTTCCCACCCCGTCCTTTCTTCCCACTGCCTTCCTCTGACTGCTCACCACAATGCTAGTAGATGGGCTAAGATCCAGCTCAATGACAAATCGATATTGCCAAGCCAGGAAGGTGACCTTCGTGGAAGGTACGATGAGGAATGGCCTTGGGACAACTGATTCTTCTGGCTGCCACCCAGGAGGCAGGACACTGAGGACTTCCAGCTCCTGCTCACACTGAAGCTAATAGGCAGAGAGAAAAGGAGAAGGTCAGGGAAGTCAGCCCTTTCTGCCCAGGACTTTCCAAAATGACAGAACACTCGCTCTACCTCCCAGAACACAACCATGTATCACTCCCCACCACTAGCTTGAGAAGTCACTATTTTAAAAAAGTTAAAAAAAAAATGGGGGACCAGCAGTTGGCATAATGGCTATGTCGCTGCACACCCATGTAGTTGACTGCGGTTTGAATCCCAGACCCAGTAGCTTCAACTCACACTGGGCCCGTGTGTGCGTGTGTGTGTGTGTGTGCCCAAGATCCTGAGAAGAGAATGGAGGAGAAGGGATTGCAGCATGGCCATCTCCCCTGGGGGGTGATTTCTTGCTTTCTGTCTCTCTCTGTCTTTCTGGCGAGCGCACGTGCTCTATAGCAAAAACCTCTTTAAAAAATTTAAAAAATATTCATTCATGGTAGCAAGTGCATGTGTGTGCACGTGGGCATGGCAGAGAGAGGGATAGCAAGGGAGGGAAGTACCCTCGACAGGGTCTGGTCACAGAGAAACTCTCTCCCTCCGTCCCTCTTGCTTCTCAGGAGGTTGGACACACACGTGTGCACCAGAGCCTGAGTTTCAGGTTGACTAGGCTGGGAATCGGAACCGAAGTTGGTCATGTGGCTTGAGCACCACAGTCCAGTGTGCTACAGATTGGGCCACTAGGCAGGGCTTGGAAAAATTATTAAACAAAATTCCTCTGGGGAATCTTCTTGTGGGCAAAGTCACTTGCCCTTCTCAGACTTAGAGCCCTCAGGAAAATCTTTCCTGCCTGTTTCCAGCACCCTTCTAAAAATCAGACTCTTCTAGGGCCAGCGGGTGGCATGGCGGTTGGGGTGCTGGACTTCCACATGGCCGACTGCTATGCGGGTCTGGACTTGGCTGCTTGCTTTCTCACGTTCTCTCTGGTGGGCACACATGCCCTATAACACATTAAAATAATAATCATAATAATTTAAATATAATTCTTAAAAAAAATAAAATAAAACAGACCCTTCTGGGCTGGCCCCTCACACCCTGCCTGACTGTAGGCCTCACCAGCATCTCGGGGGGTATGGCCTGCACAGTCTGATGCAGATGATTGAGGAACCAAGCAAGGCGAACATTTCGGGAGATTCGATAATCCTTCTTCATTAGCAGGAACACCTGCCCAGCTTCTTCCACCTGGGGACAAAGAAACATGAAAAAATCTTTACTGATTCCTTCCCACGAGTCAATTCTTAACTGCTCCTGTTGTCCCTAGGTCTCAAGAGATGAGACGACCTTTCCACATTCCTTTCCCACAAATGTTTGTGTCAGTTTCTCCTAAAAACTTTAAGCTCTTTGAGGGCAGGGATCGTGTCCTATTCTTTCTGTGCCCTTGTGTTTGGCAAATAGCTTCGAGAAAGCAGTAAGTCCCTGATACCAGATAGGAATGCCAGACAGTTCCTCTTTTTTTTTTTTGAGTTTTTTTTCTATAGGGCGCGTGCGCTCGCCAGAAAGACAGAGACAGAGAGACAGAAAGTGAGAAACCACCCCCCAGGGGGCATGGCCACACCGCAATCCCTTCTCCTCCATTCTCCTCTTGGGATCTTGGGCACGCTAGCATATGCGCTCGGTGTGAGTTTAAGCCACCACATCCGGGACTCGAACCATGGTCGACTGCACAGGAACTCAGTGACATAGCCATTACGCTAACTGCTGGTTCCCGACAGTTCCTCTTAAGAAGCCTCAACACCAGCAGGTGCTAAAGAAATCTTGAGTCAATGGCAGGCCCCCCACACAGCTCAAAATCAAACCTCAGTCACAACTGCCCACTTAGCACTGCTCTGTTGTTAGCAGTCCAGTTCCTTCCCTCCACTGGTGTCACTTCAACAAAGTTCCAACAAGCATCCCTTCCTTTGTCCATGTCTATGTCCTTCCACTCCAGAAGCCATGCCAAATTTTGACTCAGGATGCATTTGACAATTCCCCTTATCCACACATACACTGTAGCAGCTACACTATCTATCTTTGTTAGTAGGGATGACAATAGAAAGTAAAAAGAAAGAACCCACATCTACTGAGTACCTAAAATACGAGGGGACTTCACAAAGTTTACGGAAAATGGAATTCAAGTATGAGTTTATTTTAGTGCAAAAAGAATTAAAATTCATGCATAATCTTTTCATAATAAGCATTTTGCATGAACTTTTGAAGAAGTAGAAATTAAGTGTAAGAATTTCAGCTTCAGACAGCTGGGCTTTGAATCCCAATTCAGTCACTTATTAGCTGTAAGATTGTGGAAAAGGTACTTAGCCTCTTAAAGCCTCAGTGTCCTCATTTGCAAAACGGAGATACTCCTAATAGCAATCTAAAGTGCTCTTATGTGGATCAAGGGAAATCACGTACAGGAAGTGCTCAGCACGGTGTCCGGTACTTAGTGAGAACACAACGGGAGTGAGCGATTACAGGTCGTCACCGGCACTTTACCAGACTCTACATAAACAAGCTCATTCGGTCTTCACAAAAAAATAGGTAGCAGAAGAAAACTGAGGTCTGAAAAAGTTGAGTGATTTAACACAAATAGTGAGCATAGGCTCAGAAGTCAAACCAAGACCCGAAGACAACAACCCATTTACTGCTAGTGGCAAGTGGATAAAACCAGGGATGAGAGAGCAGAAAAGATTTAGAGCACTCCTGAGAAGGAACGTGATCGGGCTAACAAGATGAAAGGGTGCTCTGACATAATCGGAAAGTCAAAAGACAATGTCCACACTAATGTGATTTCACATTACTCTGTTATGTCCCCAGGAAATCTCAGATCTCACTCTGGGATCTGACTATATGGGAAACACTACTCTCTCCGATACTGCTTTCCTACACTGTGCTGAGGCCAGCTCTGGGAGAGTTTTGGATTTTTTTCTTAAGAGTAAGGTCCAGCTACTAAAGGGTTTCGGCACAGCAGTAACATACCTTCATTAAATAAAATACCTGGGACTAGCAGTTGGCCTAATAGCTACGTCGCTGGACTCCCATGTAGTTGACTGTGGGTCAAGTCCCAGACCTGGTGGCTTAAACTCACGCTGGATGCGTGAATGTGTGTGCCCAAGATCTCAAGAGGAGAATGGAGAAGGGATTGCAGCTTGGCCATTCCCCTCGGGGGAGGGGAGGGTGATTTCTCACTTTCTCTCTCTTTCTGGTGAGCACAAGCACCCTATAGCAAAAACCTTTCCCCCCCAAAAAAAAATTCCCTCAGGCTACCATGTGATTCTTTTTTTTTTTTTTTTTTTTTAGGGGTTTTCTTATGGGGGGGTTGCCCTG